AAAGGCATCATAATAAGCCTGCATTATTGCTGAATTCTTATGAAGAGTGAATGAAATCTGAAAAGAATTATTATTAATATGTTAGCATAAATAAATCATTGTTATGATTATGTTCTGTGATATTTGTGCTCAACATACAATGTAGCACTACTGCCTAATGAATTTTTATAACCACCCTAGCAATTGTAAACAATGACTTTCATTTTATGTGAAAAGCCTAAGGCCCAGCAAAGTAGAGACAGAAATTCACAATTTTTCCTAACATGCTTTTTCTTTTTGCCAGGAAAGATAAATTATAATCACATTACTTTCCTGATTTGGTTACCAAAAAATTAGTTTAGGGGTTATCTATCGCTTTAGACAAAATTAATACTTTGTGAAGTATTGAAAGCATTGGAGTAGGAATGGTAAAATCAAGCATCAAGACCTTGTCATACATCTGTACTGCAATTATTTTATTACTGTTAATTAGTGTATTCTCTATCTTTTAACATCCAGCATAAATACTTCAGAGAAAAACAATTAAAGCAATTAAATCAAACCAAACACCTCAAGAAAACATACCATTTTTTCAAATAATCTCCTATTTGGGATGAAGGAGAGTTATAGGGATATGTATATAAAACTTCCCATTTTCTCCTGCCAATATCAGTGTTGTTTCATTCATTTGCCCAATTCCCAAATGTAACACCAAGCCTCAGAATTATTTTTCTTTTTTTATAAATTAGGTTACAAGTTACGAATCAGATTTCCCTGAACTCACCAATTATTAAAAAATAAAAAAATCTGCAAGAACAAATCAATTTGATTCATTGGGGAGTCCAGTACAGAGTAAGTCTAACCGTCTGCCATATCTGATAATACAATATGCTATATACCTCTCTAGGAAATTTGTATTGGGATTCCAATACATAGTTAGGATGACAGAACTATTTTAACTTACTGCTCTATCAAAAAAAAAAAAAAAGAATCAAAAGCAACAGTAAGTATTACCATTAGCTTTTAAAGTTTTGCATGGATTTTTTTAAAAATAACCTTCCATGAAATCAACTTTAAAGATATATGTAGAGGGGCCAGTCCCATGGCGCAGCAAGTTAATCCTCTGCCTGGGGCGCCGGCATCCCACATGGGCACCAGTTAGCCCCAGCTGCCCCTCTTCCAATCCAGCTCCTCTATGGCCTGGGAAAGCAGTAGAAGATGGCCCAAGTGCTTGGGCCCCTGCACCTGCATGGGAGACTGGGAAGAAGCTCCTGGCTCCTGGCTTTGGATCAGCGCAGCTCCAGCCATCGCCACCATCTAGGGAGTGAACCGACAGAAGGAAGACCTTTCTCTCTGCCTCTCCGTCTCACTGTTTGTAACTCTACCTCTCAAATAAATAAATAAAATTTAAAAAAAAAAAAAAGGTATTTGTAGAAGCTGGCATTGTGGCACAGCAGGGTAAGCCACCACCTGTAACAACAGTATCCCATATGAGTGGTAGTTCGAGATCCAGCTGCTCCACTTCTGATCCAGTTCCCTGCTAATGCACCTGGGAAAGCACTGGAAGATGGCTGGAATGCTTGAACTGCTGCCAGCCACCTCACCATGTGCCTCCCTCAAGCTCCCACCTCTTTTGGGAGACCTAGATGGAGGTCCAGGCTCCTGGCTTCCACCTGACCCAAGTAGAGTCACTGCAGTCATCTGGGGAGTGTACCAGCAAAAGGCAGATATTACTCACGCTCTCTCTCTCTCTCTGCCTTTCAAACAGAAATAAATAAAAGATGCATGTAATAGAAAAAAAAAACCCTCAAGTTTTTTAGAAAGATATGTTGGACAAGCACATTGCAAGAAATAAACACTGCCTTTTTTAGTTAGGTTTTAATAAAAAGTACACTAATGTATCTCTTACATTAGCAAGAATTTCCAAATGCCCCTCCTTTCACTACATCTTTGGTTTGCCTTTGAATTTTTCTCTCTCTCACTGTTCCAACACAAGAAATAGCATCATTATAACTTGGTAAAATTTTACAAAGCCAGCTAGGGAAAACTCCTTTAATGCTATATGATACATTCCCTAATAAACACTGTGTGTCACCAGCACTGTAGTTTCCTGCTCATCTAGGGACTGAATGACTGACAATCAAACTAAAGTCAGCCACATGGCAATGAAGAACATTTCCATTAGCCCAGGAAGACATTTTGATAATCCATTTAATCACACTACTGGAAAGCAATAGATTATAAACAATGATGTCTCTTACCTGCTTTTAATTATGTGGATTACATATTGTATGACAGTGATTACACTTTTTCAACTAACCCAAAAAAACAATGTTCCACCTGACTAGATACACTACTATACCTTTAACTCTTTATTTAATTTATCTCATCTGAGATTTGTATTAACACTACTATAAACTCAAGGACTAAAAGTTTGTAGCTTCTAATTTTGTAATAGTGTCTAATCTCCACTTCCTATCAATATATTACTGAATCACAGAAGATAAAGAAGAATATAAGACATCTTTAAATTCTAATCTAAAAACACACTACTAACAGACTAGCAAATAGCATGATATTAGATTTAACTTTTTTTAAAGATGTATTTATTTTACTTGAAAGAAAGAATGACAGACAGAAGGGAGAGACAGAAAGATCTTCTATCTGCTGGTTCACTCCTCCAAATGTCTGCAATAGCCAGGGATAGATCAGGCCAAAGCCAGGAATCAGAAAGTCAACCTGGTCTCTCACATGGGTATCAGTACCCCAAGTACTCAGGTCACCTTCTGCTCCCTCCCAGGGGCATTAGTAGCAAGCTGGATCAGAAGAAAGAAGCAGCAAAGATTCAACCAAGCACTCCAATAAGGGATGCTGGTATCTGCAGTGGTTAACTTGCTGTACCCACAATGCCCATCCTGTAATTTCTACTTTTGACGTAGGTGAGGAGGTGGCTAACAACGAGAAGCTGAGGTCACCAACCCTTCCCTGCAGCTCCACCTGCGGCCCCAAACCTCCCACCCATTTTTGTGCAGCAAAAAAAAAAACAATGCCTCTGTAAAACTGCCACTCAGAACTACAGCTGGCCAATAATACACAAAATGGTTTCCAGTGCATCTCTGCAATGATCTTTAGCTAAGTATAATGCCATTGTAATAAAATTACCATAGCTGACATACCTATTCCCATAATGCACCTGACACCATGACATTTCCTTGAGCTGGTTCTCAAATCCCACCCCCATGAATGGTCAATTAAACTCCACTCCAGATACCACTCCCTATGCCTCCTGATCATCTAAGGGGATGGGCCCAGACCTCACTGAGCACAGCTCATCTACCAGTGTGCCCACACTGACTTGAGTACATTCATTTGCTTTGCATACAAACAAATCTTGTTTTCTGCTGACCTTTACCTATGTCTCTTCCACAAATTCTTTCTTGCATTACATGTAAGAACATAGATCATACAACACTTTGGTAAAGTCAAATTTAATTTTTGTTCTGCTACTATCTATGAAGATATTTGGTAGGTGGTATAGGAAACACTTGAGAATATTAAAAGTTTGACATACAGGTCTCCTAACACAAAAAATAACCAAGTTTTATTGAAAAAGAAGAAAATCTGTATAAAAATTGTGAAACTCTAGAAACAACTTGAACATAGTTCTGGGATGGTACTATATGGTATTATACAGTACAATTCATACATAAAAATTAGTATTCTATCATTACCTGAATCACTGCCTTCATGTAGTAACAATATGTATAATACTGCAATGTCCTATACATGTATTTATAAACTAAATAAAAAAAAGGTCCTCTACTCCAAACTAAGAAAAAAATTAAAAAGTTTTAAGAGGGCCGGCGCCGCGGCTCACTAGGCTAATCCTCCGCCTTGCGGCGCCGGCACACCGGGTTCTAGTCCCGGTCGGGGCGCCGGATTCTGTCCCGGTTGCCCCTCTTCCAGGCCAGCCCTCTGCTGTGGCCAGGGAGTGCAGTGGAGGATGGCCCAGGTGCTTGGGCCCTGCACCCCATGGGAGACCAGGAAAAGCACCTGGCTCCTGGCTCCTGCCATCGGATCAGCGCGGTGCGCCGGCCGCAGCGCGCCGGCCGCGGCGGCCATTGGAGGGTGAACCAACGGCAAAAGGAAGACCTTTCTCTCTGTCTCTCTCTCTCACTGTCCACTCTGCCTGTCAAAAAAAAAAAAAAAAAAAAAAAAAAAAAAAAGTTTTAAGAGCATAACAATAATTCCCACCCAGTCCTTGCTCCCACCCTCCCCTTCTCCTTAATTTTCTTTTAATTTTTATAATGACATATTTTCAATTTACATTTTTATCACAAATTATATATTATCTTAGCAGTAAGAGATTGAAATTCCATTTATTATTTCTTTTCCCTCTAATCTTCAAGTTTCCCCATTAGAGAAGTGACTACTTTTTACTACCTTTTACTTACTAGCATTTTTCTAAAGAGCTTCTTTGGATAAGATTTTACCATTGATTAGCGCTGCGGCTCACTAGGCTAATCCTCCGCCTTGCAGCGCCGGCACACTGGGTTCTAGTCCCGGTCGGGGCGCCGGAGTCTGTCCCAGTCACCCCTCTTCCAGGCCAGCTCTCTGCTGTGGCCAGGGAAGTGCAGCGGAGGATGGCCCAAGTACTTGGGCCCTGCACCCCATGGGAGACCAGGAGAAGCACCTGGCTCCTGCCATCGGATCAGCGCGGTGTGCAGGCTGCAGCGCGTTGGCCGCGGCGGCCATTGGAGGGTGAACCAATGGCAAAGGAAGACCTTTCTCTCTGTCTCTCTCTCTCACTGTCCACTCTGCCTGTCAAAAAAAAAGATTTTACCACTAAGACAAACATTACAGATAAACTAGTTTGAAAACTGATCTACTTAATAGCTATTAATAAGTTAAAGCTTTCATGAGCTTTTTATTTTATTTAATTCTGATGTTTGTATAAAGATTAAGGCAATTTAACAATCAAACCACTTATTTTAGATTCCCAGGAAAAGTGAGCACCTTACCCAGCATGACTAGATGATGAAGATGGTGGCAAGTCTGGTGTAAGGACATAAAGACTGTTGTTTTTTGGCAAGTGTAGTGATTTTAAGACCGTCTGAAAAAGAAAAAATAAACAAAAATGAACAGTGATTACGTATTAATTTTTCCTAAATTCTTGAGGATACTGCAATTTTATACTTTGACTTTCTATTTTTTATACTTTCCTAAATAAGGTAATACAAAAGAACTAATGAACCCAAATAACCTTGTTTTACACACACACACACACACACACACACACACAGTGACCTAGCACTTAAGACACCTACATCTCACATCAGAGTTCCGGGGTTCAATATTTATCTCCAGCTCCTAACTCCAGCTTACTGGTAATGAAGACCCTTGGGGACAGTAGAGATGATTTAAGTAGTTAGGTTCTCGACAACCATGTGAGAGACCTGGACTGAGCTCCTAGCACTGAGCTTCAGCCTGACTCAACCCTGACCATGGCAAGCATGTGAGTAATGAGCCAGTGGATGGCAATTCTCTCTCTCTGCCACATGAATAAATAAATAATTTAAAATCTCTCATAAAGTAGAATTAAAAAATAAGTTTAATTCAGTATAAAAGATTTTTGAAATGCATGCATATGCAGCTCTTCAAAAATTTCATGGAATTGGGTCTGGCGCTGTGAAGTAGCAGGTAAAGCCATCACCTGCAGTACCAGCATATGAGCATCAGTTCAAGTCCCAGCTGCTCCACTTCCCATGCAGCTCTTTGCTATCGTCTGGGAAAGCAGTAGAAGATGGCCCCAGTCCTTGGGCCTCTGTACCTACGTGGGAGACCCCGAGCAAGCTACTAGCTACTGGCTTCAGATCAGCTCAGCTCTGGCCATTGAGGCCATTTGGAGAGTGAACCATCAGAGGAAAGACTCCCTCTCCCTCTCTCTCCCCCTCCCTCCCTCTCTCTCTTCCTCTGCCTCTCTGTAACTCTGCCTTTCATATAAATAAATAAATCTTTTAAAAAAATATTCATTTATTTGAAAGTCAGAGTTACAGAGACAGAGGTAGAGACACAGAGAGAGACATCTACTAGCTGGTTTACTCCTCAAGTGGCCACAACAGGTAGGGCTGACCCAGTCTGAAGCCAGGAGCCAGGAGCTTCATCTGGGTCTCCCACATAGGTGGCAGGGGTCCAAGCACTTGGGCATCTTCTGCTACTGCCCAGACCAGTAGCAGGGACCTGGAACAGAAGTAGTAGAGCTGGGCAATGAACCGGTGCCCATTTGGGATGTTGACATCACAGGCTGAAGTTTTGCCCACTATGCCACAATACCAGCCCCCAAATGCTGGTTTTACTGAAATAAATGTATTTCTATTTTTGTTTTTATTTTTGCTAAGATTAATTTGTTTATTTGAAAGGCAGAGTTACAGAGAGAGAGAGAGGGAGAGAGACAGAAAGAGAGGTCTTCCATCCTCTGGTTCACTCCCCAAATGGCTGCAACAGCCAGAGCTGAGCCAATCGAAGCCAGGATTCAGGAGCTTCTTTCAGGTCTCCCACAAGGATGCAGGGGCCCAAGCACTTGAGCCATCTTCCACTGCTTTCCCAGACCATAAGCAGAGAGCTAGATTGCAAGAGGAATAGCCGGGACATGAGCCATTATCTATATGGGATGCTGTTCTGCAGGCAGAGGCTTAGCCTACTGTGCCACAGTGCTGGCCCCTAAATGTATCTTTTAATTTTAGATCTCCATGAACTTTCTGAAGTGCCTTCATGAACATACACTTCACATAAGTATATCATAAACTAGCACAAATCTAAATGTTAAAATATTCATCCTCTAGCTCAGGAAGAGATATAAATAGATAAGATAGGACTTACTAATTTCTTCCCTAAGACTACTGTGCAATTCATTCCATAGACTTTTTAGAAAAAAGAGCAATGTAGGTTTCCAGAGATCATTACAGATCTACAAAACAGAGCACATCAACCCAAGGATTTTATAGTGAGGACCTACAGCCTGATAGATCATGTAACTTGGATGAATTCTCCAGCAAATGTTACCTAGATCACTAACTCTAGAGATCTCTTTGGTTAAAGTGCTCTGGTTGAAGCAAATGAACTACTTCTGGTCTACACATGACCTCTTATCTTGACAACCATACAAAATCTCACTAAATTTCCTTACTACAAAATTCACACACATTTCAAATTTCCAACTGCATGGTAAATGCTTGGTGAAGTATTTCAAACTTTTTTTTTGACAGCAATTCATATTTACAAACATAACTTACATGTTAACCTAGGACATTACTCATTCAACAAATATTTTCTGAGTCACCTCCTCTGTACCAGGTAGTCCTATCCACTGGCAACACAGCAGTGACTACAATAGCTTAAAATAAAATTCTAAATCTTATGGAGCTTACCTTTTAGTAAGAATAAATAAAATAACATGCATAGCTGAATAGTAAGTGAGAATTCAATATGGGTTATGAAAGGAAGGAACCAAAATGACCCTAAAGATTTTAGACTAAACAATGGGAGGATGAAGTTGCCATCAGCTAACAGAAGGAAGACTGTGGATGAAGACTTCCATATTGAAATCTCTTCTAGACATTCAAGTAAAGAAGAAAGGTAAGCAGCAGAATATGTCAATCTGGAATTCAGGGAGCATGTCTAGTGTGGATATATAAATTAGAAACATCAAAGTGAAAAAGCACATAGATGACAGTTAAAAGCCATGAAACTGAACAAGACAACAGTGAATTTTGTGATGTGGTCACAGATGATCTTGACCAAAACACTAATAAGTCTCTGCTTAGACTGGGCCCAAAGGAAATGGGAGGACAGGAATTGGAGACAAGAAATAAAAACAATTCTCAGTGAACTTTTGTTATCAAGAGTACTACAATAAGGCCAGCAGTGTAGTGTAGCAGGCTGAGCCACTGCTTGCAATGTTAGCATCCCTATTTCGAGTCCCAGCTGCTCTGCTTGCAACTCATCTCTCTGCTATTGACTTTGAAAAAGCAGCAAAGGATGGCCCAAGTATTTGTGTCCCCACCACTCATGTGGGAGACTAGAATGGAATTCCTGGCTTCTGGCTGTAGCCTGGTCCAGCTCTGGCTGTTGCGGCCATGAGGGAGTTAAACAGTAGAGAGATGTGTGTGTGTGTGTGTGTGTGTGTGTGTGTATTCTCTTTCTCTCTCTCTCTCTCTCTCTCTCTCTCTCTCTCACATACACACACACACACACACACACACACAGAGTCCCCCTTTCTTCTTCCCTCCCTCTCCTTCTCTCTTTCTCTGTACTTTGCAATTTTAAATAAATAAATCTTAGAATCTTAGAGTGGGGTAAAATGTAGCAACTGCTAGAAGCAAAAATAACATCATGTTGGTAAAAATTTACTAGAGAAAAATATTGATACCAGAGGGTCAGGAAAGAATTAGACTGGAGCCTTTGCCTAGATAGGAGGGTATGTGTCACACAATCCAAAGCAAAAATGGAGTCTTATCTCAGATAAGAGCTTGGACAGACAACTAGAGTAATACAAGAGAAAGGAGAGTATATAAACAAAGACCGAATACAGAGCTTGTGGAAATTCTCTTGTAATTCCATTTATCTCATCAGTGAAACAAACAGGAAACAACAAAGCCATCAGCTGAGAATGAAACAGAAGGAAAGGGATTCTGAAGGTCTGAGGAGGTAATAAGAATAAAATAATCACTTAAAAGAGTATTGATAATCCAGGTAAATATGATTATCTAGCAACAAAAAGGGGCCCTCTAGGGTTGGACATTGTAGTGCAACATCTCAAGCCACCACATGCAATACCCACATTTCAAATCAGAGTTCCAGGTTTGGATTACAGCTATTCCACTTCAGATAAAGCTTCTTACTAAAGTACATCCTGGGAGGCAAGAGATGATGGCTCAAGTACTTGAATCCTTGCCACTCATATGGGAGACCCAGATAGAATTCTAGGTTCCTGGCTTCAGCCAGGCCCAGCCCTGGCTACTGCTGGCACTTGGCAAGCAAACCAGCAGATAGAAGCATATTCGTTCTCTTTCTCTTTCTCTTTCTCTCTCCCCCCTTCTCTTTCTTCCCCCTCCCTTCTTTCCCTCCCTCCACCATTCTGCCTTTCAAATAAAAAGAAAGAAACAAAGGACAGGGGGTTCTAGAGATTTAAAGATACACTAATGAGCAACTGTATTTGTTTCCAGACACATTTAGCAGTGAGACACAAAAGAGACAGAGACAGAGATTTAACCCACTTAAAGATTTTTGTCAAGCAAGGACAATGAACCAAGAGTTAAGACTGTTTACAAAAAAAAAGTGATTATATGAGTTATTACTCATCATGGAATTTAATCTGGTATAAGGAAGAGAGGACATGAAAAAGTTAATGATCACGGAAAATGGCCAAAAAATGGATTGGAGGTCTAAGCAGGGCTGGATTGCTGGAGTTAGGGCACTAAAGGAAATGAGAAGAAAATGGGAAGCTTGAAATTATTATTTCAGAGTTGCCACGATTAGTAACTCTAATACCATGGGAAGAAAATTATCTTTGTAAGGGAAAAGTTCAAGGAACTAGGAGGCCAAGGTGTTGGAAGAATCATTTATAAAGAAATTGACATTACTAAGAATTAAGACAAAACAATTATAAAACAAACTAAAAATCATCAAGAATTGAGGGGAGATGACCTTAATAAATACAGGGCATACTCCTCTGACATGAAATTAAAAGCTGAAGGAGTTTTAAAGAGTAAGAACAGATAAAGGTCTGGAAGTAGAAATGAGGAACAGTGGGAATACATATTCTGCCATTTAATCCAGTAGTATGAAGGCAGGCAGACAAAAACAACTGCCTCTAAGAAGACTACACAGCAACAATATCCTTAGGAAGATCAATTTCAGTCAGAGGAAGATCAGTGAAGGGAACAGTTAAGAGGTTGACAAAAAAAAGGAATTTAGCTTATGATGAATCAGTTGTACAGGACATAGCCAAAAGGTTTCAGGCATTGAAAAGGAAAAGGGAGAGAAGTAGGTATGGGATGTGCAGAAGTCATAGAGACCTAAACGAGAAGTGACCAAGAAACCTTGAACTCCTTGCATTAACTAGCATAATCTAGTTGAATCAAAGCAAATAATAATAACAGGAGAGAAAGTGTTAGGAAAAAGAGTGGATGCCAGGGAATCCTTCTTCACAAGGATGCCTACAGGAAGAGTAATCTAATCTAAACAAGGAACATACAGGATTTATTCCTGGCTCCTCCGAGAAAAGGCCTATCTTACTAGATACACAGTCTCACTTCAAGGGCACTGAGTCTTACTCTTCACTCACACTAGTTATGTGTTGTTGAAAAATAAATGCTTATTTTTATTATTGGCAATACATTCTGAAATTTTCCATTCTATTTTGTTTCCTTTTTTCTTCTCATGTTTTAAAGCTGGCCACATCCCACTCAATGAACTTTTACAACCCACTAATGGTTTCTGATCAGTAGTTCAAAAATAACAATGCATTAGACAATTATTCATAATTTCACAATCTACGTGGAAACAAAGTTCCCCTAAAGTCATGAAACCTTGTCAAACATATGATGTTGTTTTCAAACTGATGTATTATCTCTAAGCAGTTAACATGTGAACAAAATAGCCACACATACATATGAAGGAATGTTATTTTCACCTTTTTATCTTTAATTATTTTACTTTGTGATTACTGATAAACGCTTAGTCTTACCCAGTGATCAAGTCATTACAGTTCTCTTGCCACACTACTGTCTCAAAATTTTCCATTAGATCAACCCAACAAATAACGTACGGCATGATTTAAAAAAAGGGATACTTTCTTTAACTCATATATTCCTGCATTAATTCGATTAACATTTACTTGATGACTATTAAACCAAGCATTGGACATAAATGGTAAAGAAATAGATATGGGCTCTCTTCTAATGGTGCTATTATGATGGAGAATGCTGGGATGGGAGCCAAATTAGATAGAGACACCTGTTAGGAAAAAGTAACATTAAGCTAAGACTTGAAGAATGAAAAAAGGTCATTCCTTTACTGGAGATAAAGTATGTCAGCTTGTCAAATAGCATATGTCACGTTAAGACGTTAAAAGCTTAAAACTATTAAATGATTTAAAAGGAGGTTCCTACTGCAGCATGGAAAGTGAGGTAAGAAAGGCTTAAGATGAGACTGTAGACAAGTGAAGATGGAATAAACAGTATAATGCCTTTTATTTGATTTTATTTTAAAGATTTTATTTTATTTATTTGAAAGGCAGAGTTGCAGAGGCAGAGAGAGAAATCTTCCATTGTTGGCTCACTCCCCAAATGGCCACAATGGGCAGAGCTGAGCTGATTTGAAGCCAGGAGCTTCTTCTGGGTCTCTCATGTAGGTGCAGGGAAACAAGCACTTGGGCCATCTTCCACTGCTTTCCCAGGCCATAGCAGAGAGCTGGATCAGAAGTAGAGCAGCCAGAACTAGAACCAGCGCCCATATATGATGACTGCACTGCAGGCAGCAGCTTTTACCTGCTACGCCACAGCGCCGGCCACATATGATGCCTTTTAAACTATAGTGAGTTGATCTGAGTTTTACTCAGAGTTCAATAAAATGCTATAATTGAATAAAAGGGCCGGCGCTGCGGCTCAATAGGCTAATCTTCCACCTGCGGCACCTGCACACTGGGTTCTAGTCCCAGTCAGGGCGCCAGATTCTGTCCCGGTTGCTCCTCTTCCAGGCCAGCTCTCTGCTGTGGCCAGGGAGTGCAGTGGAGGATGGTCCAAGTGCTTGGGCCCTGCACCCGCATGGGAGACCAGGAAAAGCACCTGGCTCCTAGCTTTGAATCAAAGCGGTGCGCTGGCTGCAGCACACCCACTGCAGCAGCCATTGGAGGGTGAACCAACAGCAAAGGAAGACCTTTCTCTCTGTCTCTCTCTCTCACTGTCCACTCTGCCTGTCAAATTAAATAAATAAATAAATAAATAAAATAATTGAATAAAAGAGCCATATAAATAAATTTTGTTAAAGATTTATTTATTTGAAAGTTAGAGCTACGCAGATTGAGAGAGATAGAGAGAGAAAGATAGAGAGAAAGAGAGAGAGAGAGAGAGGTCTTCAATCCGCTGGCTCACTCCCCAATTGGCCGCAACAGCTGGAGTTGTACTGATACGAAGCTAAGAGCCAGGAGTTTCCTCTGGGTCTTCCCATGTGGGTGCAGGGGCCCAAGAACTTGGACCATCCTGTACTGCTTTCCCAGGCCACAGCTGGATTGGAAGTGGAGCAGCCAGGTCTTGAACCAGCACCCATATGGGATGCTAGCACTGCAGGTGATGGCTTTACCCACTATGCCACAGTGCTGGCCTAAATCAATTTACTTTTAAATTATTACTCTGGCTGCTGGCAGAGAATTCACAGGAAGAATCCATGAAAGGAAGTTGAGAAATAAATGATAAAATTATCATGTCAGCCTAGGCAAGAGATGTTAATGGCCTGGATCAGACAGCTACAATAAAAATATTGAGAAGTGGCTATAGCTGAAATGCATTTTGGAGATAGAATTCTTAGTTTTTACTAAAGGATTAGGTGTTGTAAGAAGTAGGAAAAGATTGGTGACCATATTTTTGGATCTAGCAGTGGCTATTGTGAGTACACAGCTACCATTTATTGGGGAAATGGGACAGGAGGGAAAATCAAGAGTTCCATTATAAGTATGCAAAGTTTGAGATGCCACAGTACAAAAGTCAATAACTAATTTGCATATGAAACTCACAAAAGTATGGGTTGGAAAGATAAATTTGTGAATTATCACAAAATTAATGGCATGAGCACAGCAGAAATCACCTAAAGGAAAGAGTACTTAGAAATAAGTAACTGAAAGTATTCTTTATAATGAAAATTGTTCAACTGATACAATATATAGCTTTAAGGACATTTTCAAAACGATCGCCTTTCTCTTCACGAACTCCATATAAGTCTGCCTCATAACCACAGGTTTCTCAATAAACGAATGAATAAATAATATTGCTTCATAAACAAATTCATTTTGCTGCTTTATTTTCTCAAGTTGTTGATTTACTCAGTCAGCAATTCAATGTTTTTTTTATAAATCCATGTATCAGTTAGAACAGCCATAGTGCCAGTATGGTTAGCAAACTGTGGCCCAAGAAACAAATTCAGCCTGCTGCTATTTTCATATGGCTCATGAGTAAAGTAAATAAATGTTACATTTTCAAATGGCCTGGGGGGAGGATCAAAAGAATATTTCTGACATAGGAAAATACATAAAATGCAAATTTAAACAAGCTACTTTGAAGTATAGTTATAATCACTCTTTCATATATTGTCTATGGCTGTTTCACACTACATTAACAGAAGTAAGTAGATGCAGCAGAGCCACAATGGTACAAACTATAAATATTTAATATCCGACTGTCCAAAAAAAGCTTGATGACCTCTAAATAACGTGTTTATAAACTTAGACATCTTGCCAATCTGAAATTCGTGTAAATATCTCATTGAAATACTCATCTCCATACATCAAATGAACTTAAATACTCATACTCACAAAGAACTGATCAAAAAGTTGAAGATTTTAAGCTTTCCTGCCCATTGAAATAATGAATCAGTAACTAGTACGAAAGTTTTGATAACTGTTTCAACCTCAAACATTTGAAAATTTAGAATAAATTAATTTCTTTCCTTCCTTCCCCACTCATCCTGTAAGAAAAAGTGTGAATTATTTTATATCTGAGAACAGCAACTACTACCTTAAAACTACAACACTCTGTGCTAATTCATAAAATATAATTCATTATATATACCTGCCATTATCCAAGCAAAGAAATATTCTTACCATTTAAATTTTCCAAGTTTAAAACTTTCCTATTGTTATCTTTGTTCTATAATCAATACTTGCCATAAATGTACACATTGTATGTGACTTCTTTCAGGCCAATAAGAAACTTTTCAGTAAATTATTATTCCAGGGCCTTTGACACCCTAAGAGGTTTGTGAGAAAAAAAAAAAAAAAAGTGCCAAACTTCTATAAACTAGTTAGAAGTAAGAAAAACATGCCACATAATGTTTTCATTTACATGCTTAACTCATTTAAAACTGTTATTGGGTTCAGCATGTAAATCATTTAGCTTGAAGATCATGGTTGACTCCTTAAACTACCTCACTATTAGCAAACTTACTTCTATCATATCTAACTAATTAAAACCATTTTTTATACATCATTTAGTCCATTGTAGAACTTAATTTTCTTTTATTTCCAGGCAATTAAGAGACTCACACTGTCTTCCACATCTCCGGTCTTCCAGCCTTTTAAGAGCATTTTAGACACAGGTATCTGAAGTTCATTTTCTAGAATCTGTTTAATCTCTCCTGTATAAATAAGAAGAGATCAAATATTACTAACAAAATAACACAGCCAACATTGTTCATATCCAGGACTAGCATTAATATTTGGCATACAGTGCAGTCAATGAATAAGAAATGTTTCAGTAGTCCAAATATCAAATCTCCTTGATCAAACACATGTTGCATCTCTGAAGAACTCAGATTTCAGCATTAACTGTGATAAAAAGATGACAATAACTAAATTAAGCAGTTAATTATATAATCTACGCAATTTTAAGTATGGCTTTTAAAAAGAAATAGGTATTAGTGATCAGGGGTTTGAATGAAGACTATTTCAAACTAATCAACTGACAAAGGCTTCAATGTGCTCAGCATATGGTGGCAATAGCAATTAACATAAAATCTGAGGTGTTACAGGATAGGGAAAGTATAGGAAATTTGGGGTTGAAACTTTATCTCAGGGAAATCAAAATCTCAATAATTCTTATTTCTGTATCTATTCTGCCTATCTTATCGACTCCAAGAGTCTGAAGATGAAAGGAGGTAACATATATGAAAATAACTGAAAAAAATGAAGCCAAAATATATAATCTAGAAGAGAATTTATATAGCATCAAAGAGAAAAGCAACAGAATTACAGAAAGTATGAAAAATGTGCTAGATCAAATAGCCAGAGAAGGCTTTGTGACAGAAATCAACTTTCCAAACATAGCTATGTGAAGCATAGCTATGTGTAAGACAACCAAACCATAACAGGCAAGGACACTGTATTCACTGAAGACAAAAGACTGAAAGGTTAAAAAAAAAAAAAAAAGCAAAAATAGACATGGTATTAGTGAAAATAGTGAGAAATCACAATTTGCCAATGCTTACAAATTATTCTACAGGAATCAAGCCAACTTATAAGTTAATCAACTGATTACTGGTAGTATACTATAAACAAAGCATTAAATCAGTATGTATAAATCAACTTACATTAAATGGCTATTAGCCCATAATTTCATATTAACACATAACTCAATTACATTTATAAGAAGTTCATGAATTTTAAAAAGAGCCTGATAATTTTATATATTAAACAGCAAAAAATAATTCCACACTGACAAAGCAAGGGAGTGGGGAGCTTACACACAAAAGATCTACAGAAACAGAGCTGCTTCAGTAAGTAATGCTACTATCCAAGCATTCATGGCCTCAGTAATATCCTTTACGTTCCTAAAGAAAATTCCTATCTTGAAAATTTGATTAGTGATTAGCAATCATAAAAATTAGTTCTATATCATAGTCGTGGAAACAAACTTTAATCAACCCTGGACTTCAAAACTGTCACTACTATCAGATGACCACACTGTTTATGGAAACAGTAGAAAGGTGAATCATAATTTTCATACCAAATACGTATAACACTTGTGGCTAAGATTGCTACCTCTAAAACTGTACCTCTCTGTAACTGGATTGATGCATTTGAAAGTCTACTCAGTGTCCACCTTACACTTCCTTCTCACAATCTTAAAAACACTCATCCTCTCATAATCTAAAATAATTTCCTACACAGAAAAAAAAGAGATTAAAAGTCCCAACTACTCTTTACAGATCACCTAGGTAACATGTAAGATAAAAAATGTCAAATAGCTTTTTGTCCCACAGGGGAGAGAGGAATAGGAAACAAAACCAGAACTATGACAGTAACCCGAGTTCCTCATATTTTAAAAAATATTCTGTATAGACCTCAATTTCTTCTTCTACAATATGGGAACACTAGCTATAGTAGAAAAAATTCATTAGGTTGCTGCCAGCATTAAATGACACAAGTTATGCAAAAACATTCCTTAGAAACTAAGGAACTCAAAGTGTGGATTAGTTTGAGTTGTATTTTCACACTTAATGAAGTAATCCACACATAAGTAAACTACAGTTTTTGAAGAAACTGCAATTTTTGCTTCTAGGATACACAAAAAAATTTAGTGAGCAAAGCACTGGAATACAGCATTTTTGAACCAGAATTCATATTCAGTCTACCTAACTTCACAAGATGGCACTGACATTAAAAAACACTATTCCCTTTCCCTCAGCGTATTGCAAAATTGTGAAGATATATAATATCAAGAACAGTCTAAATCTTACAGCATACCTTTTAAAAATGGATTATAATTTACAAGTAATAAAACTCATTCACAAGTTTTGACAAATACATATGCTGCTGTTGTAACTACCACACAATAAAGGGTATTTCCGAAATCACAAAAGTTGGCTCATACCAAATCCTGCCTCCACCCAACCAGTGATCTTCCTCATCCTAACGATTAGTTTTGTCAGTTCTCCTTTGTGTCTGGCTTCTTTTACTTTGCGTGTGTTTTTGAGATTCTTCCATATTATGTGTGCCAATAAATAGTTCTTTTTCATTGCTGATTACTATTCCATTACATGGAATAGTAGGCAACTTCTGAAATGGAGTCCCATGATTCCCTATTTCCTGATATTAATGTCCTTTGTAATCCTTCCCCTTGATCCTTGAGTTGGACCTACGTATTTGCTTCTAAAGAATAAAATAAAGGTGACAGGATGTCATTAGGTTACAAATACTGGGGCTTCCATCTTGTTCTGAGGCCCTCAGTATTACAGCCTACAAGGAAATGATTCCGACCAACAAACAAAAGTTGTCCCTTTTTTTTTTTTTAATTTATTTTCTATTTATTTGAAAGAGTTACAGAGACTGCAAAAGCCAGAGACAGATCTTCCACCCACTGGTTCATTCCCCAGATGGCTGCAACGGCCAGGGCTATGCTAGGCCAAAGTGAGGAGCCCAGAGTTTCTTTGGGGTTCAGGGCCACAAATATTTGGACCATCTTCCACTGCTTTCTCAGGCCAACAGAGGGAGCTGGATTGAAACTAGAGCAGCCAAGTCCTGAACCATATCCACTACACCACAAAGCCAGCCCCTATAATTTTTTTTTAAGATTTTATTTATTTGAAAGGAAAAGTGATAGAGAGGGAGAGAAAGACCTTCCATCTACTAGTTCAGTCCTCAAATGGCTGCAACAGCCAGGGCTGGACCAGGACAAAGCCAAGAGCCTGGAACTCCAAATCTCCCACACTGGCAGGGTTCCAAGCACTTGGGCATCTCATGTTTTCCAAGGGGTATTAGCAAGGAGCTGGATCAAAAGCAGAGCAGTGAAGACTCAAACTGGCACTTGGTATGGGAGGCTGGTGTTGCAAGTTGCTTTTTTTTTTCCCCTACAGCCTCAAGATGACATATTGCTTGCATTTATGCCATATTCCTGACCTACATAAACTTTGAGATAACAACTGTTATTTAAGTCTCCAAATTTTGGATAATTACACAGCAACAAATAATATATACAGATATAGTACAATTTGTTTATCCATTCACCAGTTGAGAAGGATTTGAGTTCTGTTTTCCCTATTGCAAATAAAACTGCTATAAACATATATTCTTTTGTGAACATATGGGTTGATTTCCTTTGGGTAAATACCTTAGAACAGAAGTGCCAAACTGTTTTCCAAGGTGGTTGTATCATCTTTCATTCCAACAATGTTCCAGTTGTTCCCTATCACTAACAACAAAAGACCTTTCAATCTTTTAAGTTTTAGTCATTCTTGGAGATAAAAAGTGGTTTGTATTGCAGTTTCAATCAGTGTTACCTGACAATGAATGATATTTAATGACACTGAGAATCTTTTCATGCGCTTATGGCTTTTTTGATTATCTTCTTTGATGAAGTATTGACTATTTTTACAAGTAAACTAGACATTGTGCTTGATTCCAGGAGGGAACATTTTGGTCTTTCATTATAAAGTATTATATATTAGTTACATTTCTTCAGCAATATCCTTTATTCCTAATTTGCTACTAGTTTTTGTTTCAACATGAAATGGGTACTGAATATCGTCAAATGCTTTTTCCTCCATCAACTGAAATTATTTTCTTATTTATGTGCTGACAGGGTGAATTAAAGTGGTAGATTATAGGTTCAAAAACAAGCTTTGTGCTCCTGGAGTACTGTTCACTGGTTTATATAAATTTTGAGCACCCACGTGGGTGCAGGGGCCCAAGCACTTGAGCCATCCTCTGCTGCTTTCCCAGGCACATTAGCAGGGAGCTAGGTCAGAAGAGGAGCAGCTAGGACTCCAGCTATGCCACATTGCCTTAAGTCACTTTTTCTGTGAAGATTTTGATCACAGATTTTACAACTTTCTTCTTTTGTAATTAAGCATCTTAGATTTCCCTCGCAATACTAATTTGTTGGGCTGGTGCCATTGCTCACTTTGTTAATCTTCTGCCTGTGGCGCCAGCAACACATATGGGCGCCGGTTCTAGTCCTGGTTGCTCCTCTTCCAGTCCAGCTCTCTGCTGTGGCCCGGGAGGGCAGTGGAGGATAGTCCAAGTGCTTGGGCCCTGCACCCGCATGGGAGACCAGGAAGAAGCACCTGGCTCCTGGCTTCGGATTGGCATAGCGCTGGCCATAGCAGCCATATGGGGGTGAACCAACAGAAGGAAGACCTTTCTCTCTCTCTCTCTCACTGTCTATAACTACCTGTCAAATAAATAAATAAATATATATATATATAAATACTAATTTGTTGGCATCAAACAGATAATGATGGTCATGTTGTCATAATTCAGTTCAAAATATTTTCTAATTTCCCTTGTGATTTCTTTTTTTTTAATCTGTATGATTCATCTGGAAGTATGTTCTTTAAATTCCAAGTATTCTGGAATTTTTCAGATTGTTTTAATTACTAACAATTCCATTGTTGCCAGAGAACACGCTTTTTTAAAAAAATTTTATGCTTTATATTTGGCTTAGCATATTTCCCACTTGAATTAATATATCAACTGCACATTAAAAACATGTATTTTGCTGTATTTATCAGAGAATTATCTATATAGTAGGTTAAATTAGTTTCTATGTTGTTCATATTTTCTGTTACTCTGAACATTACTAGAAGAGAGAAGTGTTATAAACTCCCATTACAATGTGGGTTTTTCCACTTCTCACTTC